TATTGAATATATTTTATTACATTAAAGTATATATATGATAATCTCTAATTATATCAATACAAACACCTAAAAACCTGTGCAACATCAAAAGAAAAATGCCCAAGATGTGGCTACTCTAACCCCCGAGATGTGCCTTTAAAAGCATATTTATGGCCTAAATGTGACTGCCTGCTGCTTGCCACCGATTGCGCGGTATAAAAAAGGGTCGCACTTCATGAAGAAGCCACAACAACAACAACAACAACTGCGAGATTGGTAGAAGAAGAAGCACCAGCTGAGGCGAATGCAGTGCGATCTGGGGACGCAACAAGGCCAAGACGTATGGGTCACTTCTAGTCCCACCCGCGCCCAGCTAGTTCTTCGTGAAAAAAAGAAAAGTTCACAAAAAAGCGAGTAAAACTTTTTTATTTGCATTTTGTTTTAAGCGGTGGCAACAAAAATTCAGCAGAGGAAGAGGAAAAAAAGCACATAGACCAATGGTGTTTATTCCCATTTCTTTTCCTATTTTTCTACTTTTTTGTTTTAACAATTTTTTTCGTAGTTGTTTTTTTTTTTTTTTTTGGTTTGTTTCTTCTTTGTTTTGTAGAAAAATGCACAAGTTTTATGCTTCTATAAAAGTTTTTGTGGCGAAAACTTTGCACTTGTCTTGTAGCCGCCGAAAGGGTTTTACAATGATGCGCTACAAGCGATCCGCCCGCCCACGCAGTCGACCCTTGGATAGGCATGCCGTGGCACTTTATATGCTTCGTCCGGTGTGGTGGAGGCGGGGGCGTAGGCGGAGTCGTGGTAGAGACAGAACGGGACAATGGCTAGTTATTGGTGTAGCAGAAAAGTTTTAGGCGCGAGCCACGCACCTTAAAAGCAAGCCAAGACCGTCCCAGCTCATCAGCCAAGCCCAATCCCAATCCCAATCCCAATCCCAGCCCCAGCGTCAAGCCCATCCCCAGCCTAATCCGAGCGGACGAGTGTGACACTGAGCAAGTCACTTAGTTAAGCCCGGAGACGATGTCGGTCATTATGCGACCCCGAATAGCTGCTATGCATTATCATTATCATTAAAATAAATTATTAGAGAAAGTCGGACGTTGGGCGTGGCAACTACGTAGAACTAAACGCATTTTGCACGTTTTCTCTGCGCAAATTTTTTACACGATTTTTACAACTTTTTTCGGCGCTTTCAGCTAAGTACACAAAAGCTTTTGCTGGACAGTGCACATAGTGGGGAGAGTGTTTGGGGGCGGTGGGAGAGGGTGGTGGTTTGCTGCCTCTTTGGTCGTCAGAGATAAAAAGTCAAGTTTGAGGCGTTGCGAGTTAGACGCAGCAGCATTTAGTTCGGGGCGCAAAAAGGTTTGCAAGAAATAACTTTGCATACTTTTAGGCGGCGCATGTTAAATACTAAATGCAAGTCCCCAACAAAAGACAATGTGTATGTGGTTGGGGGAGGGTGGGGGAGGAGCGTGGTTGTAGAGCAGGCCTGCATGCGGAACACCACGTAATTTCTCAAGCTGCCATAGCCTGACCACGTAAAGCATAAAATATTTGCCAGCGACTCCAATGCTGATGACCAGAGAGAAAGAGAGAGAGAGAGAGAGAGATGGAAAGGGAGAGTGAGGAGTCTAAGAAAAGTATGTCTAAGAAGTTGCCAAACAAGTTGCAGCCGCAGCCTGTGCGACGCAGCTCATTTGAATACATGGCAACAACTTTGACCACGCATTAGTTACACAACAACATAAAAGCACAACACGAAGTTCGGCTGAGCAAGGGCTGGATGGGGGTAGATGTAGGGGTGGGGGTAGGAGCAGGGGCGAGGGCGTGGGCGATGCGATGCCTCTCAAGTCCAAGTCAAGTCAAGTCAAGTTCTCTTGTCGCTGGCAACCGAATGACCTGCCACATCCTTCGGCCTGGCCGGCACATGCAATTTGTAAACCAAAGCGCATAATTTACAATGAACATTTTGGTCGGTCTAACGGTCTAACGGTGCTTAAAGCTGACCGCGCCACAGACTGCCGGCAGGACTTGGGACTTCATCTTAGTCTCGGTTGCCTGCTCCGGCTCCCGCCTGAATGAAGTGCCTGCGCCAGGACATTGATATGGCACTTGGCGCTGCAGCTGCATCTCCTCTGCCCAGCTAGGACATGGATCAAGAACGTGACTCAGTATCTATTGAAATATTAACGTATACATCAGATTTGATGCGAAATAATAAAATTTGAGCTTGAATTAGCAAATTGAATAGCTAAGAAAAACTTAGCTGCAGCATAAGGTTCTTGATCATTGAAAACTGCTTCTGTAAGCGAGATAGATAAAACTTACTTAGATCCATAAAAAAGTAAATTTCTCGACAGAAATATAACATAAAATTAA